ATTTGATTGAATTAATTTGTCAACTTATTTTAAAGGATTTCTTTTTTCTTTTTTCATTCAAGTTCAAATTAATTTTTTTAAGGGTAATTAATGGGTGTCATGTGGAGATTGTCCAAGGGCCACTTCTGGGCCTTGGGCTATATGTTGCATGTGTGTGTGCATTAGAGTAATTTACAACAAATGGGTTTGACAACTCCATCTGATATGCTCTGGCACATCCATCCATCCATCCATCCATCCATCCATCCATCCATCCATTACCTTTCCCCGCTTCCTCCTTTTCGGATTGCGGGGGTCGCTGCTGCCCATTTCCAATTATCAGGGCAGTGTAAGAGGTGAGGGACACCCTGGACAGGTCTCCAGTCCATCACAGGGACACATAGAGACAAACGAGACAAACAACCATTCACTCTCTCATTCACACCTAGAGACAATTTAGAGTTACCAATCAGCCTAACCTGCATATTTTTGGTTTGTGGAAGGAAACTGGAGTACCCAGAGAAAACCCACTGAAAGAGCATGCAAACTCCACCCAGAAAGGTCCCCGGACTGGGATTTGAACCGGGGCAACCTTCTCACTGAGAGGCAGCAGCTCTACCAACTGTGCCACCGTGCTGTCACACACCCTAACATTTTTATGAAAGATGATTGTCTTAAAACAGCAATTCTGACATAAACAAGTGAAGAACAATCAACCTAATATATATATATTTTAAATCAAAAGATACAGTCTCTTAAAGCTTAATGTAGTGAACATATACCTGTGATATATTCATAAATTAAACGGATTCATTCATTTTTCTGGACTGAATAATATCGTGCATTGAATTTAATAAAATGTTACGTGAGACGTTAATTTTCTTTGACCCATCAAATGAATGTGTCATTTATTAACAGAATCAAAGTTTAACATCAAACATTTACATTAATTTGGCAAAATTGAAAATAACAACAGCTTAATTAATCAGCTTTACAATCAGGAAAACCATACGGCCATGGTTTTCCGTTGCTTCACAACAGACATTTCTGAAAATATCTGGAATGATTTGCTAGCAGGATAGAAGAGTTTTAAAGATGGGAAAATGAAGTTTAAATTGAGAGAGAAGATGGATGAGGGGTTGTTGTGTGTCGGTATCAGAACGGTACGCTCCGTTAAGATCCCAGCTTCCTCCTCGGTACACTTAGGTGGTATAGATAGACTCTTTACCTGTAGCAGGTGTCTCCACTGGTACGGAGTTCCATTTAACGCACCCTTTCAGCGTCTCCGTAGGAACAGCTGTGAATCGTCCGAAGTAGTGACGGTACTTGTTCGACACAAGTTCACCTCTCAGTTGGGCTCACGTGAGTTGTGAGTCCGTCAGAGTTCCACTCAGATGTGGAAGATTGCATAATTCCCACGAGACTCGGAAGAACTCCGGATCATGTCTGGAACTCCTGTTCTCTCCAGCACTTCTTCCGTTCGGTACTGCTCTCCGAACTGAACTCGACTGCGCTCGACTGCACTAGCTCTCCACGACTCGTTTGAACTAGGAAGTGCCGACATTTAAAGAGTTCTATTTCCGGTTCATTTGGGAACTTTCTGATTGGTCGATTGACCAAACAGAGGTGTGTTTTTGTGATGTAAGAGGTCACTAGAAGTCAGAAAAACAGAAAGAATGTTTTGGAACAGATTGAAAATGTTTTAGAGATAGACGAGAGAAATGTTTAGATGAGTTGGGGGAAAACAGGTGCCAGCTTCTCTATTTACGTCTGAGAGGATATAAAAACATGACAGTTCGTTCCAACAACTTGTCTTCGACCTTTGACCGACATCACAACTTGCTCATTTCAGACAGAAGATCAGAAAATGCATGAATTACTCCGTAACACATTCCAATTTGATTTCTACTTTGAACGAGGATTAAAAATCACTAATACTGTTTCACAGTTGATTTAAATTGAGTAGTTCACTTCAACATTTAAAAATGGTTTGAACTAAACACACTTTGATTATCAAAACATTTGTAAAATAGTAATGATAATAAAAAAGAGAGTGTTCTTTCAATTGATCAGTGCAGAACACTTGGGAAGTCTCTGGATGAACTTAATCTTGTGTTTCTGGACTCAAATCAATGAAATACAGTTCTTGTCCCAGGAAGGCCCTCAAGGCCAGATTTGAGACCTGAGGCTTAGTTCACTACATTAACTTGAAGAGAAAAAAAACATCACAAGCAGGTTTCTACTATATTCAATAAGTATATTTGGGTATGAGTACTGGGGTGGCTGAGTGGTTAGAGAAGTCATCCTCCACTGCAAGAGCTGGGGGTTTGATTCCACCAGCAGTCACATGTTGAAGTGTCTCTGGGCAAGACACCATTTCCTCTGATGTGTGTCCCATCAGTGTTTGAATGTTATAAAGCACTGATTATTCTTTGTACAGAAGTAGTAGAGTGCTGTATGAATGGGTAAATGAGGACACAGATTGTGTTGTAAAGAGCTTTGAGTGTCTTGATAAGAAAGAAAGGAGCTATATAAGTATAGTCCATTTACCATATACAGTGCTTTGCAAAAGTATTTGGCCCCCTTGAACTTTTCAACCTTTTGCCACATTTCAGGCTTCAAACATAAAGATATAAAATTAATTTTTTTTGTGAAGAATCAACAACAAGTGGGACACAACCGTGAAGTGGAATGAAATTTATTGGATGTGTCAAACTTTTTTAACAAAAAAACCCCTGAAAAGTGGGGTGTGCAATATTATTCAGCCCCTTTACTTTCAGTGCAGCAAACTCACTCCAGAAGTTCAGTGAGGATCTATGAATGAGCCAATGTTGTCCCAAATGACTGATGATGATAAATAGAATACACATGTGTGTAATCAAGTCTCCGTATAAATGCACCTGCTCTGTGATAGTCTCAGGGTTCTGTTCAAAGTGCAGAGAGCATCATGAAGACCAAGGAACACACCAGGCAGGTCCAAGATACGGTTGTGGAGAAGTTTAAAGGTGGATTTGGATACAAAAAGATTTCCCAAACTTTAAACATCACAAGGAGCACTGTGCAAGCAATCATATTGAAATGGAAGGAGTATCAGACCACTGCAAATCTACAAAGACCCGGCCGTCCCTCTAAACTTTCATCTTGAACAAGGAGAAGACTCATCAGAGATGCAGCCAAGAGGCCCATGATCACTCTGGATGAAATGCAGAGATCTACAGCTGAGGTGGGAGAGTCTGTCTATAGGACAACAATCAGTTGTACACTGCACACATCTGGCCTTTATGGAAGAGTGGCAAGAAGAAAGCCATTTCTCAAAGATATCCATAAATAGTGTTGTTTAAAGTTTGCCACAAGCCACCTGGGAGACACACCAAACGTAGAAGAAGGTGCTCTGGTCAGGTGAAACCAAAATCGAACTGTTTGGCCACAATGCAAAATGATATGTTTGGTGTAAAAGCAACACAGCTCATCACCCTGAACACACCATCACCACTGTCAAACATGGTGGTGGCAGGATCGTGGTTTGGGCCTGCTTTTTGTCAGCAGGGACAGGGAAGATGGTCAGAATTGATGGGAAGATGGATGGGGCCAATATAGGACCATTCTGAAAGAAAATCTGTTTGAGTCTGCAAGAGACCTGAGACTGGGACGGAGATTTATCTTCCAACAAGACAATGATCTAAAACATAAAGCCAAATCTACAATGGGATGGCTCACAAATAAACATATCCAGGTGTTGGAATGGCCAAGTCAAAGTCCAGACCTGAATCCAATCGAGAATCTGTGGAAAGAGCTGAAGACTGCTGTTCACAAACACTCCATCCAACCTCACTGAGCTCAAGCTGTTTTGCAAGGAAGAATGGGCAAGAATTTCAGTCTCTCCATGTGCAAAACTGATAGAGACATACCCCAAGAGAATTGCAGCTGTAACTGCAGCAAAAGGCGGCGCTACAAAGTATTAATGCAAGTGGGCTGAATAATATTGCACGCCCCACTTTTCAGTATTCTATTTGTTAAAAAAGTTTGACACATCCAATAAATTTCATTCCACTTCACGATTGTGTCCCACTTGTTGCTGATTCTTCACAAAAAATGTAAATTTTATATATTTATGTTTGAAGCCTGAAATGTGGCAAAAGGTTGAAAAGTTCAAGGGGGCCGAATACTTTCGCAAGGCACTGTACGTTTTTGTAAGAGAATGTCAAGGTGCTTTTATATCTCTCTGAGTGCCACAGAAAAAAGAGTAGTTCAAGTGTTTTCTGAAACTCTTTATAAATCTGAGCAATCAAAAATGAATACTGGAGCACGTTTTCTCAAATTAAGTTCAATCCCAAATGAAGAGTGGAACATGCTCAAAGCATTTTCTTGAAATATTTATTTAAAGAAAAATGTAAAACTTTTTCATGTGGATATATTTTTCATTGGTCCCTGTGAATCTCTGCAGAGTGTTTGTCAGCATTCTTGATGCGTTTCCAGCTCTTTGTGTTTTGCCTTTTCCTCAGGAGTCATTTTCATATAGCAGAAAATGCATGAGTTTGAATGTGCACGGTTCCTTTTATCTGCTTCCTAGTAAAAAAATAATAAACCTGAGGGAAGCTTCTGACGCTCTGGTCCCATTCCCATGTGTCCTAATTCAAACAGTTTTTGTGTTTATTTTTTAATCTTTTGTCACACACTAATTGCCGTTACCTTTACCACCAATAATATGGCAGATTGTTGCTTATGTGTGTGCATGAGTGCACGCTGTACTTACATTTAAATTGTGTTTACATTGGCACACTTTGCTTATCCCTTGGCTGAACTGACTAATGGAGGTTATTTTATTATTTATAAAGCACATCTCCCTGTATACTCTGTCTGTTTTTAAGCATTATATAGAAACACTGATACAGCAGCAGGCTGCATTAAAGTCATGTTCTAATCAACTCTCTCTCTCTCTGTGTCCTCTCTCACCCTTGTTATCACCATCTGTTTGTCCATATTGTCATCCTCTGTTTCTGGTTCCTGCGGCTCGCTGACAGACGCTCCTTTTGGCCTGGTGCTGGGTGTGTTTCTTGTTTGTGTCCTGGCTCTGCTGGGCCTTGTTACGCTGATCTCCTGGAAGCTGTGCTGGGTACCGTGGCGGACAAAGGCCCACTTCCCCAGTCAATCTCTCAACCCAGCCTGTAGCCCACAGCACTGCCCACTCCAGCCACCTCTCCTACTGCCCAGTCCCCAACAGCCACTAGTCTCCATGGCGACAGAGAAGGTGAAGGACCCCATGGGCTCGACTAGTTTCCTGGAAGCGGCAGTGAAGATAAGCCATACTTCTCCTGACATCCCCACTGATGTGCAGCTCTCCATGAGAGAGCACTTCCTGCGCCGAACGCAGCGCATGCAGAGACAAACCACTGAACCGGCCTCCTCCACACGGTTAGTCTCACACATACATGCGCACATGCACACACACACACACACACACACACACGTCTGCCTGAAAATCAGAGAAAATATTAAACTGTTAAATGTTGTTATTTGCCTGTACATATTCTGAGTGTTACAAGCTCACAATAAATACAGAATGTACAATGTGGTGCAGAAGTTTGATCAGAAAGAAAAATAAATTATTTAAATGAGAAACAGTTTCACTGCCACATTTTTTTTCAGAGCATGCCACAAATATATAGTTTAAATTATTTAGTACATACATATACAGTAGTAATAAATTTAAAATGTATTTTGTGGCTGGGCTCAGCTCAGTGACCTCTGTTTATAAGTCACTTTAGTAAAGTTGACATGAATTACAAACTGAACAGGTTGAACTTTTGTGTTTGTTTTGTTTGTGGGGTGGCTGTGGCAGAGTGGTTAGAGCAGTCGTCCTCCAATGCAAGAGTTGGGGGTTCGAATCCACCAACAGTCACATGTCGAAGTGTCCCTGGGCAAGACACTGAACCCCTCATAGCCTCTGATGTGTGTCCCATCAGTTTATGAATGTGATCTAAAAAGCACTGATTTGTCTCTTTAGAATGATTTGTTCAATTAGCTTTGTAGAGATCTAGTAGAGTACTGTATAGATTGTAGTGTAAAGCGCTTTGACTATCTTGAAATAAGATAGAAAGGCGCTATATAAGTACAGCCCGTTTACCATTTAATCATACCACAAGTAATATTTACATTTCCAGCTTATTAAGAGAGCACACCAGTTCTCCATTCTGACTTGTTCCTCAATTATTTTTCTGATGGTGTTATTTCACCTTGTCTTCAATCTAGTTTTTTGGTATATTGTCCCTATCGTCTCCAAAGAAGTGGAAACTCATACTCATTGTAGGCTCTGAGCTGTGACTGTTGAGGACCAGCTGGCTAAAAACATTTGCTAAGGAGTCTCTAAAATGTTTTGAAATGTTTGCAAGGGTTTTTTAGTTTTCTCAAAGTTGTTGCTTAAATTTTAAACATGTTCAAAAAAACAAGACAAAAGATTTTCTCTCAAAATATGGAACACCGAGATGCTCAAAATTAAATAAGTAAATCAAACATTATCAAATAAGAAAAAATGGCTTATTTATTTCATAATTATCCAAAAAAGTTCAATCTGGTCCTCTGGACATTCAAAAAAACAAAAAACAAAACAAAGCAAAAAAATCTAGAAACGTTTCGTCTCTCATCCAAGAGACTTCCTCAGTCTGAGGTGCTGTTTTCAGCTCAGTCTCTTAAATAG